GCCAGGGGGCTGATCTGTCACTGCTGAATTGTGGGTGGGGAGCTGAGAGAACGAGGAACTATATTGATCTGATTCCATATGAACCCTCACCTCACTGTCCTGTACACTTCCTGACACAGGGCAGGCATACAGAAAATGTTTGAGAATGAATGGGAAGAGAGGCTAGCTTGAGGCTTTTCTCTCTTCTCCCTCTCCTTTGCCTTCTCCAAGCAGCCTTAGAGACTCTCCACCCATCTCCTAAGCCATTGCTTCCATCTTTCCAGGTCTTGGGTTCTGATTGCCCTGAGCATGACCCTCTCTCCCGTCAGGGATATTTGCTCCCTAGGGCCCTGCATTCTCACCTCCTCTATCCCACATACCTGGGCAGCTGTGGCTTCCCAGCCCCAGAGGGTCCCAGCTTCCCTAAGCTATACTGCAGGTAGCCAGAGCCTGGCAGCTCCCTGCTGACAGGAAGGCACAAGTAGAATCCTGTTCCATTCAAAGCCTGAAACCACAGAGATCCTGGTTAGCCAGTAGGGGAGAGTGAGCCCAGYTGACTGGATTGCTGGGAGAGAGAAGTGTGGATCCCACCAGCCTGATAACAACCCTGATGGGGAACCTGTCTTCAGGCACCTCCCAACACCGTAGGTCAAGAAGATAAGGGTTGCCCAATAAGTTGGGGTGACATCCCCTGAGGGCAAGCCAGAGTCACATTAACAGAAGGCTCATGCTATCCTCAAGCAAACATTCACTCCTTCCCCAGACATAGTTTTGTGTCTATGTGCATATGACATAGTAAATGTACATACAGAGTTGTGTGTTTCTACACATGTGCATAGGTCTGTATCTGTGTGTTCTGCACATACACTTATGAGCATAGTGGATATACAGGTGCCTTGTGTTGTATGTTCTTTTGTGTGTAGGGCCAGGAGTAGCATACAGGGAGGAGAGTTGCCAATTCTTTCACAGTCCGCTTCTGTCCCTGGCTTAGATATTAGCTGTCTAGACCAGCCTGACTGAAGAAGAAGCTATCCCAGAGTTCAAGGGCAAGGAGAGTGAGTCTCAGTGGATCTCCCACCACAGCCTGGGGGAGCTTCATTGGACATTGATGACTCAGTCTCAGCAAGAGGCATCATGGATTGCAATTCCTGACCCCTGGGCCCAGCCCCTCTTCATTGCTCATAGGGATTTAGACACCATTAGAAAGCTGTTCCGATAGCAAGCAAGAGTTCATCCTAAATTTGGACTAGTCTCCTTAGGACCAAGAGGGTAAAAAACTGGCTGTTTCCCCACTTCCACCATATGGCACCTGAATCACAGTGGCCCATTTCTAAGAAATCCAGGGGCCACAGAGGGAAAAGGAAAGTTTGTTCCCAAGATGCTGATATTGTTCTTGGTTACACATCTTCTGGGTCACTGAGAAATGTGGATGTTTGGGGTGGAGGCAGACATGGCATATCAGTTCACATCTGCTCTTGAGGACCCTTAGTTACTCTCAGAGTTACAGCAAAGAACCAGAAAATAGCCCTCCACCTCAGCCCAGTCTTGCCCTGCCAGGAAGACCCTTCTCTGTGTGGTTCTGGGTTGAATGTGTCCTGACAGGGAGGGAGGAAGAGGAACAGCTTTGAGGGAGTGCAGACATACCACTGGGCATCCAAASTGAGGAAGACTGGTGGAGGATGCTAAACAGTGGCTATGATGGAGTGTGGAACAGGGATCCTAAGGCTTTGGGCCTCTCCTCCAATCTGGCACCTCACATGGCCAGGCTAGTTCTCCTTTCATTCCTTTGTTTCCACTGTCATTCTCTCCCCATGTATCCTCCCTTTGCATTCATCCAAACCCTCTCTCTTTACATCCCTGCTGAGCACATCCCACCCACCCCCTTACTCTGCAGCTTTTCCAAATCCCATATCCTTAAGGACCTCTCCTGTGGTTGTATGTCCTCCTGGAGGACTCTAGAGGAGAAGAGAGAGAAGAGAGGCATCACAAGCCAATGGAAGGGGTTGCATGGCCTCCTTTCCTCTTCTGTAGGGTGGAGGGCTGGAGACTGTTGGGACACAGAGGAGATGCCCATTGCAATTCAGTCCTCATTAATCAGAGCAATGACCAATTCCTCACCAGGCACTCAGAAGTAAGCATGCCTCAGCTTGGGGAATATGCAGTCCAGCTTTGCTTGAGGATAACATGAGCCTTCTGTTAATGGGACTCTGGTGTGCCCTCAGGGGATGACACCCTAACTAATTGGGCAACGGATATCTTCTTTTTTTTAATGAATGACTTTTTAAAAAATACATCATTTTTATTGTTGTCATTTATTTTTTATGTAGTGATGGAGATTGAACTCAGGGCCTCATGCATGCTTGCAGGTGTTTTACCACTGAGCTATCTCCCCAGCCTCAACTGATATCTTCTTTTTTTTTAATATTTATTTTTTATTTATTTATTTTTTTAGTTTTCGGTGGACACAACATCTTTGTATGTGGTGCTGAGGATCGAACCCGGGCCGCACGCATGCCAGGCCAGCGCGCTACCGCTTGAGCCACATCCCCAGCCCAACTGATATCTTCTTGACCTACCGTGTCAGCAGAGCATGGTCCCATCTGGGAAGGGGACACCAAGCCCAATCTCTCCCCTAGAGAAGGATGTTGCCAACATCCTGCATAGATCTGGGGGAGTACCCAGACAAGCATATAACACCCATAATGGAGCACAGGGGCAAACAACCAGGCTGCTGGTGCTGCCACACTGAGAAGAGAGAGTCACTGTGGTTGCTCCCATCTCAGGCATGCCTAGAGCTCAGTAGCCCCTCAGGACTGCTGTGAATGAGTCACTCCTCAGTAGCTCACCCTCCCCTGGGTGACTGCTTGAGTCTCTTTTTATTTTTTATTTTTGGGTGATATTGGGCCACGCTAGTTCTCCTGCCATTCCTTTGCTTCCACTGTCACTCTCTCCCCACTGAGCTGTCTACCACTGAACCCTTTTTTCAATTTTTGAGACAGTGTCTCTCTAAATTGTCGAGACTGGCCTCACTTTTGATCCTCCTGTCTCAGTCTCCCAATCACTGGGATTACAGGTGTGTGCCACCAGGCCTGGTTTCAGGCCTCTTTTTGAGTGCTGCCTCTAGGCCTGGTAACCAGCACCTAGAGAGCCCCCACTTTCAGGGGTGAAGCCTCAGAGGAGGTCCTCCCAGGGAGATGGGTCAGCCGACTGGCTGAGCATTGTCCAGAGTAGCACTACATTTTGCAACTACATTGCAAAAACTGAGACCATGAGATGAGAACCATCCTCAGGTAGCATAACACACTATCAAGTGGCAGGACAGAATCTGGGTCTTGGTCTTTCAAGTCTGGGACCCAGAGTAGCAGGCTCTACTCAGCAACCCCAAGACAACCCTGGCCAGAGGGTTTATTCTCCTTTATCTCTGGGCATCCAGTTCCACTGATAAGACTATCTCTTGCTGCACTGCAGTGGCCTTTCTGAGAGTGCTAACGTGTGAGACCCCACTCCTTTGGGACACAGCCCTGCCAATGGAACCCCGTAAACTATTTCTCTTTTAAGACTGGAGGGTTAGGGGTGGAGTGGGGCATGGGGAGGGACGGCTGTTGGAACTGCTTTTTGTACCTTCTAGTCAGAGGTTAGCTGAAATCCTTTGCTTTCCAGAGGACCTCACTCACTTAAGCAAATATCAAACATTATCGCTCCTTGACCCTACAACCTTCCCCAGTTGGGGGTAGGGGCAAGGTGGCTCAGAGCTGACCAGCCTCGACAGAGTGCAGGGGTTACGCCCCAAAGAGGTGCCTAGCAGGGAATGGGGCCCGCAGTCCGCTTCTTCCAAGGGAAGACCATCCTAATTCCAGAAGAGACAGCTCAGCAGGTCCTGCGCACGCGCGCCGCCGGAGTGGAGCCGCTTTGTTCCAGCGCTACCTGCGGATCCATTCACCTCCTCTGCCCCTCCCTCCAGCGAGCCGGGACACCACGCTTGCAGAGACCCCGCCCACTTCCCGCGCTGGGTGGAACACGCAGTGGGGCCCCACCTCCCTACCCCCCTTTGATCGTGATTGGCTGCCTTCGCAGCGCGTGCCCGCCTACCTCGAAAGTTGATTGGTGCACTGAAAGTCCTGTAGGAGAAGGAAAGCAGATTATAAAGAGCGKTCCCCTCCCTCTAGTTCTGCTGGTAAAGTCACGTGGCACTTCACTCTTCGCTTGTCACTACCCCACTTGTAAAGGCTTTTTAAAGGGCTCGCGCTCCATTCCCGGGCTAGTCCTTTGCAGAATTTCTCCACCCCAGCGTGCGGAGGGTAGCAGCGGCCCTGATCCGTCCTACTCCGCCAGTCACCTAGGTGCCGATTCCCCAGCGGGTCTGCTGGGGGTGAGGTCCTGCAAGCCTGTGACTTGCAAGGAGGATAAGGAGCTCTCCTAAAACGTTGACCCCCTAGCACGATGCCTGGCACATAGTAGGCATTCAATTTCCATTTGTTGAACGAATTYGATGAAATAATGAATGAATTAAGGATAACGGGCGAGAGAAGGGAAGGTTGGCGTAGTGTGACTGCAATCCCCTCCCAGGTACCCATTCTCAGGGAAACTGCTTCTTTAAGTGAGGTGCCAGGCGTAGGATATCCCTAGGACAGCTTCTCCCGTAGGGTACTAAAAAGTTGGGAGCGCCGCCAGAGGAGACCAAAGGGGGCGTATTGGCTGGCCCCCCTAGGCGTGCCGTAGACGGTTTCGGGCTAAGCGAGACAGCGGAGGCGGAGATAGGACCCGGCTACGGGTCTCTGGACACACCAGCAGCTAGTGAGCTCGCGTACTGTGGGGAGGGGCAGCAGAGGCGCGGCGCCTTTAAGCCCGGGCACCGGCCTCGCGGCCCCGCCTTCCGGAGGACGCCAAGGCGCGCGGCCGCCGGAGTCGCTGTTTAATTGGGGCTGTCAGGCCGCGGCGCGCGCGGAGGGCCGGGCGGGCGGGCGGGACTGAGGCCGGGAGGCCGGGGCGGCGGGCACGCAGCTCGGCGGGAGGCGGGCGCCCGGAGACGCGGCTGGGGCCCGCGCGGCCGGGGCGCCGTCCCAAGGCAACGCTGCCCGGCCCCGGCCCCGGGCTGCCCGCGCTCCCCATGAAAAACCAGCTCCGCGGCCCCCCGGCGCGGGTGCACATGTCGACTTCGGGGGCGGCGGCGGCGGCTGGGGGCACCCGGGCGGGGTCGGAGCCGGGTGCGGGGTCTGGGTCCAGCGCAGGCACCGCGACGGGCGCGGCAACGGGAGCGGGGGCCATGCCCTGCAAGAGCGCCGAGTGGCTGCAGGAGGAGCTGGAGGCGCGCGGCGGCGCGTCCCTTCTGTTGCTGGATTGCCGACCCCACGAGCTCTTCGAGTCGTCGCACATTGAGACGGCCATCAACCTGGCCATCCCGGGCCTCATGCTGCGCCGCCTGCGCAAGGGCAACCTGCCCATTCGCTCCATCATCCCCAACCACGCCGACAAGGAGCGCTTTGCCACGCGTTGCAAGGCGGCCACTGTGCTGCTCTACGACGAGGCCACGGCCGAGTGGCAACCTGAGCCCGGTGCTCCTGCCTCCGTGCTCGGACTGCTCCTGCAGAAACTACGCGACGACGGCTGCCAGGCCTACTACCTCCAAGGTGAGGGCAACACCTAAAACCCTATACGGGATTGGGGTTCCTCCGCGGCTCCCTAATGCCCCTGCTGCAGGCTATTTCCTTTCCACGCTCTTGGCCAGGCCGGGCGCCACGTCGCCCCTGGCCCGCATCCGCTCTCCGTCCCCCACGATGTGGGCTTAGGCAGGGGAGGGCGGATCTGTGTCCCCTTTTCTCCGCACGATTTGTATAGGTAGAGAACAACCCCCCCTTTATTTATTTATTTATTTTGTTTTTTTTCTTTTGACGGGGCGACCGTAGTGCCCCGGCTCCAGCTGAGCGCCCAAAAGGAGGGAGAGGCCACCTCCTGGAACCCGAAAAGCGTCAGGGCCTAAGTCCAGCGTGGAATTCATGTCCCTGGAAGGCCAGGGTCAGTAAGGGCACCTTTCATAACACCGTCCAACTTCTTGTACATAGGGACTGTTTATGTTGGGGTCTCTGGGATCCCGTCATGGCCCCTATCACCCAGGGATTGCTGCCTTTTGGATGCACTTGGACAGAAGGTTGGCAATGCCCATTTTCATGGCCCAGGTCTCCTGGGGCCCCCAARTCCCCAGCCTGCTGCCTTAGAGCTTTTGGAATAGAGGAGGCAGCGACTGGGGGGCGAGTGGCTGCAGCCTGTGTTTCCAATTAACATTCCAAAATGGCCTCTTGCTGGCAGCGGGGCGGGCGGGCGGGAGGGGAGGGGAGGCCTGCGGCACCCTCGGGCGCAGGGCCCATGCCTAGCTGAAAGGCGCTTCCCATCTTTCCCATCAGTGTGTATCCCTAGTGACCCTCCTGCTCTTCAGGTCCAGGGCTAGACAACCTTGTGTTCTGAGGGAGGGTCCAGAGAAGTGTGTCTGGGTTCCCCTTCACCAGTCTACCTCTGGGGGGGTGGGAGTATAAAAACTTGGGGGGGACTCAGGACCAACCTATACCTTCACACTACCGTCCCCTAATGTGGTTATGGAGGTGGACAACCAGAGACTATCAGGAGGCCCAGGTCCTCTCTATCTCTAACTGACCTAAATGTGGCTCTGGACCCTGTGGACTCATCTATAGGAGGGGTTTGCAGACCCTGGGTGCTGGTCTGAGTGGGGGATTGTGTACTTTCCTTTGCCTCTTACTGAGTACTAATGAGTCTAGGTATGCATGAGAACTGCAGGAGAGGATTGAGCTGGTGCCTGTCCTCAAATGCCCTAAAGCTGGTGGTATGGCTGAAGTGTTATGGGTAAGGGTTCAGAGCTCTGGCCTCAGTTTCCTCATCTGTGAAGTCGTCATAGTTTAAACGGAAAGAACACGTGAGAGGATGCACATTGTATGTTTGACATGACCCATGTTGCCCTTTGGTGGTATAATGCTTAACATGAGGAGTGCTGGCCATCAGTGGTCTTATGTGGCCCTTTTGGACTCTCACCAGCCTCTCACCCAGGCCCTGTCTCACCTCCGTCACAGGTGGTTTCAACAAGTTCCAGACAGAGTACTCGGAGCATTGTGAGACCAATGTGGACAGCTCGTCCTCGCCCAGCGGTTCGCCGCCCACCTCGGTGCTGGGCCTGGGGGGCCTGCGCATTAGCTCTGACTGCTCCGATGGCGAGTCAGACCGAGAGCTGCCCAGCAGTGCCACCGAATCGGATGGCAGCCCTGTGCCATCCAGCCAGCCAGCCTTCCCTGTTCAGATCCTGCCCTACCTCTACCTCGGCTGCGCCAAGGACTCCACCAACTTRGATGTGCTCGGCAAATACGGCATCAAATATATCCTCAATGTCACGCCCAACCTACCCAACGCCTTCGAGCATGGTGGCGAGTTTACCTATAAGCAGATCCCCATCTCTGACCACTGGAGCCAGAACCTCTCCCAGTTCTTCCCTGAGGCCATCAGCTTCATTGGTAAGTGTTGCTGTGCTCTGGCCAGAGTGGGTGGGTGCATCAAGGTATATGTGAGACTCTGGGTGTCGCCCCTGCCCAACTGGGTACCTCTGGGCCTGTCAAGACCTGTGTGTGCCTTGCATGTGCCAACGTGTACCTGTGGGTGTACCCATGCCTGCTGTGACTCACCGAGTCCCTCAGGCCCCTCTACCTGTCAGGGCCTGAGCAGTCCCCTGAGTCCTGGGCTCCCCCCAGCTCTTAACATGTCACCGTCTCTCTGCTGTCAATCTTATATTTTCTGGCTTTGCTGTTGTTTCTTACTTAGCAAGCCAAAACATTACAGCTTGCAGACTCCCACGAGGCCCAGTTGCTCTGCATCACGCCTTGGCACACGTGTCTTTCCAGGATGGGGCTGTCACTGTGCTTCTTTGGGCTTTACTGTGCACCTAAGAGGACTGAAAGCTAACCCTGGGGCCAGAGACTTATCCCAAACAGGCAGTTAATGAGAATGTGGTGCCCCAGAGTGTCTCTGTGGGACCCCAGCTGCTCTTAGCAGCCTGTGGGGTTTGCTTGGCATATAGGGAGTGTGCAGAGAAGGTGGAGAAGCCTGAAAGAGGACTACATCCCCAGCCTCAGCTACCTCTGGCTTCCCCCCTGCTTCCTCCTTGGTCAGCTTGAGGTTATTAGACTGCAAGTCATCTCCCCAGGCCTGGGGGCTCACCCAGGTTATGGGGAGGGACTCAGGCTTAAGATAAAAGCAGACCCTGTACTGTCTGAACCTGGTGACCTAGTGTTTCTGTCCAGCCTCCTGTGGTAGAATGGAGTTGGCCTGGGCAGTCTTTTCCCAATGGCGGCTGTGTCCAGAGGAGGGCGTTTGGTGTCAGCCTGGCTGGGCTAGCTTTAATAACAGGAAGTGGGAGGCTTCCCCGCCTCATCCGCTTACTGGGAACCAAAACTAGGTGCCTGCCTGGGAGGAAGGAAGGAAGCTGAGGCCTGGGGGAGGGGCCCCGACTGGGGCTGCCTGGAGCTTCCAGCCCTGCCCCAGGGGACATGCCAGGAGGACTTTAGGTGCTGTCTCAGCAGTTGACCTCCCCATTCCCCCCCAGGAGGAAGAACAGAGAGGGGAACCCCAGATTTCTCAGGGCTGAGCCTACTTTGGGTGCTTTTATCCTTGAAGGTTCCCCCATATCTATTAGGGGTGAGGGGACCCATCAGGATGCAGAGGTAGAAGAGAATCTTTTTCCCTGTTTGACAAAGTGAAGGAATTGAGGTCCAAATATCCCATAGGACTCACTGGGTCAGGATTAAGCCAGATACTTGAAGGGACTCAAAATAAAGTCAGCAGAAGAACTTTCAGTGTGACCCCGGGAGTGTGTCCTCTCTGGAACCCTTTTTCCACTACCCCTTTCTCTCACTCCAGATCTCAAGGTCAGACCACACTTCTCCATACAGAGCTGCAACATCTGTCTTCTCTCCTGCTAGTCCTGTCCCTAGTGTCGTAGCCRAGGGACCATCCTGTTAGTCCCTGAGTCTGGACTAAGCACCTACATATGCTTAGTCCTGAGTCCCCTTTGTTGAGTAGAAATGGGGGAGGGAGGCCAGAGGCAATAAAGAACTTGGAGCCAGGTGAGGTGGCTGTATTCCCAGTGACATGGGAGACTGAGGTATGAGGATCCAAGTTTAAAGCCAGCCTCAGCAGTGTAGCAAGGCTCTGTCTCCAAAACTGAAAGGCTGGGGATGTGGCTCATTGGTAAAGCAGCACCTCTGGGTTTAATTCTTGATACCAAAAAAAAAAAAGGGAACCTATGTGTCATTTTATAAGAGAGCATTGTTTGAGTGCTGACTGTGTGCCTGGCTCCCAGTGGGTTTGGAGTCAGAGAACTGGAAACCTCAAGGAGCCTAGCGCTGCTGCTTGTTAGTCCACATCCCTGGCACAGCTATGGCACTGAGAGTGGAGAGGAGAGATCACAGGGCTAAAGTGTTCAGGAGCTCAACCATCATTTACTGTGTACCTACTGTGTGTCTGGCAGAGGAGTCTGGGTAGCAGTGGGGGAAACTGGGAGGATGAAGAAAGAAGGGAAGACTGGCCGAATCCAGTTGGCTATGGGGAGAAATCACTGGAAGGGCCCCCACTTAAGCCAATCCCACCTGAGAAACCCCAGATGTGGCTGTTATCTTAGTCCCTGGCTCTTCAGAAGCTGAAGCTAAGGCCTTCGGGACTAGCTGGGCAGAGCCCAGAGCCCAGGGTAGGGCCAGGCAACCCACTTCCTCCCTCAGGCCCACTTTGCAGGAGGCACTGGGAGTAAGAGAATAAGCACAGCCCCCACCTCCAGGTCATGGTCTGGTAGCAGAAGGTGCTGAGTTAGGAGAAGCCTCTGGTGGCCTTGGGCTTGTCACTTTGTCTCCTATCTGTTTCCACATTGTTAAAATGGGCTTATTGGCCATGATGCAGATTATTTGAGAGGAAACGGAAGACATCCTYTAGCCAGTTGTGACATGACAGTTGCTTATGTTTGCTGAACCCTGTTTGGCCTGGGTCCTTATGAGAGTACTGAGAATAAAAGGGCTCAGGTGAGGCTGAGGCTYGGGAATGTGCAGGGGCTTATAGCTAAAACAGGGCAGAACCCTTTGCACACCCCAAGTTGCTAGCCCACCACACTGGGCTTAGCTGGGTCCCTCAAGAGTCAGGTTGTACCAACAAGCCACCTGGCTGCCCTCTGTGCCCARCCCCAACTGCTGTGGCCCCTCTGCCCACCCATTTGGGGAGGCTCTTTGAGACACACAGCCTTGACCCATGCCCCTGTGTTTCAGATGAGGCCCGCTCCAAGAAGTGTGGTGTCCTAGTGCACTGCTTAGCAGGCATCAGCCGTTCGGTGACGGTCACCGTAGCCTACCTAATGCAGAAGATGAACCTGTCACTAAATGATGCCTATGATTTCGTCAAGAGGAAAAAGTCCAACATCTCGCCTAACTTCAACTTCATGGGGCAGCTGCTGGACTTTGAGCGGACGCTGGGGCTAAGCAGCCCATGCGACAACCACGCGCCCAGTGAGCAGCTGTACTTCTCCACGCCCACCAACCACAACCTGTTTCCACTCAACACCCTCGAGTCCACGTGAGACCAGGTGCAAGGATGGGCATGGTGCCGGGGCTCCCCCAGCCCTCCACAGGGCCCGATGGGGCCCAAGCTTGTTGTCCCTGGCCCGAGGAACCCACGGATGTCTCCTGTGCCCAGAAGCTGAGGCTGAGTGGTGGCCAGCTCTCTGCCATTTGTGGGGGCAGGGCCTCCCTCTGCAGGACTTGCTAAAGAGGCCTCAGCTGTCAGACACATGGCTTTGGGGGCCCCTGGACCCTCATGTCTATCCCAGGACACTCCTTTCTGCTGGTGGCCTGACCATTCTGGCTGTTTTTAAAGACACATCCATGGACCTGAGTTTACTTTTTACTTTTAGCAGGTAAATCCAAGCTCCACGGAGCACAGAGTATTCAAGCTCTTCTTGATTTTTCTTTTTTTAACGAAAAGTGTTATTTTCAGGCTACATGCAGCAGTGGATTGTATAAACCAGTATTTCAYCCCTTTCTTGATCTTGTGAGAGAGAGAGAAGTGTTTTCAGTTTTGTTTTTCTTCCTATTTCAAAAAGCAATTATTGGTGTGTGTTTTTGTTTTTAATGGAAAAGACAAACCCCGTGTTGATCTTGACCAAATGCGTTTTGCACATGTATGGAGCTCGTTTCTCCAGCAGACACTTCTTAAAGGGGTGGCTTGCTGCTTTCCAGGCATCAGGACCCCCAGTTGTGCCATCTCCCACCCATGGCTCAGCCCAGCTTGGTATTGTGTCTGCCTGTGCACACTGCCTCAAGTTGTGCTTGGTGGGCTGGACCTGGGTCTTTGCATTGTCTGCCCTCCCATCCACCCCAAGGTGGTCCTGCACACCTCCTTGCGCTATCCTGCTGGAGGTGGGGCTGCAGGGGACTGCCAACTAGTAGCATTAACCCTTTGGTCTCAGCCCCTAGCAGGGCCAGGCCATGGGCCCTTCTACATACTTACCCAAGACTTCTATCTAGTTCTTTCTGTAACTGGGAGTGGAGACCCAGTAGCCGGGGGAAAAGAAAGCTTAGGTGGTGGAGCCCAGCCCTGCCTCCCAAGTTCTTTTCTTCATCCTGGCTGTTGCTTTGGTCCAGCTGCAACTCCCAATTCCCTTCTCTCTGGAAGACTGCCTTGCTCACCTCCTGCCCATGCCTTCTACTACCAAGAAACATGTACCCATTTCAACCCTAGGGCAGGGGCAGGTGGGGCAAGGATGGACGAGTAGAAGGGGTGTGAGGCTCCCTCCCCACACCACCCCGGCCCAATAACTACAGGACAAAGCCACGGATTCCGTTACCCTCCTCCAGTTTTGTTCCTCAGTTCTAATCAGGTGTCAGGACTGCRTGCGGGCTTGGGAGGGGTGAGCAGTTGGGCCAGGGTCCCTGATGGAGCCAGCACTCAGCATGTGAGCGAGGCCACGGAAACTCTGCCCCCACCACATCTTACCTCACAGGGGTGGTTTTCAGGGATTCTTTAGGGCAGTGGATTCAAATCTTGCCACAGTCAAGAAATTGACAGAAAGCTTCCAAGCTGTATATGGTTCTCTTTCTCTCTCTCTCTCTCTCTCTCTCTCTCTCTCTCTCTCTCTCTCTCTCTCGTTTTTTATTTTTAAAAAGAAAACCCCAGAAAGATGTATCAGATTTGTGTAAATGAGGGTATTCCAGAGGGTGGCCAGTTTTGCTTTATGATCTTATGAAGGAAAATTTGTGACCCTACATATATATATATACACACACACATACATATATATATATATATATATATATATATATCCCGAACCAGCAACGGGACTTTGTTTATATTGCAAATAAATATTATTTTTTCTTTAAAATGAGTTGTGGTGTTTGGTAAGAGCTTGGGCCCCAGGAAGGTGAAACGGGAGTGTTCTTCACTGCCACCCCAGTGCTTGCTTCTGTGAGGCTAGTCCTGCCCATGGTATGCTGGGCACTTGCTTAGACCAGCCAGAGGTATTCCCCCAGATGGCAGGGAGCAGGCAGGGCTTCTGTCTGGATGAAGCCTCAGTCTCTATCTCTAAAATGGGGCAAAGCACAATGAGACCCCAAGTGCTTTTTGTATTTGCCCCGATGCTCATGATCTTTATCTGGTCAGGGTCTGGGTTTGCAGGGAGGAATGAGCTGAACTCTAGCTCCCACAGGCATGGGGTGGGTAGAGAGAGTAGCTTGGAGCAGAAAAGAATCCTGGAGAAGGATGGTGGCCATGGCCTTCGGGATAGAGCTCCAGAGCCCTTATGTGTCCACTTCTGGCTAGATGGGATGAGTCCCAGGCCAGAACTTAAGGAGCCCGGGTGCTGATTCTGACCCCACTTCCGCCTCTGTCCGTAAGTGGGCTGTGATAGCATTAGGCGGGACCCAGGTAGAAGGTGGGTAGGGTGGTCCAGAAGCAAGGGCATCTCAGCAGCTCCCCAAGACATTCCCGTCAGGATGACCAGGCTCTCCTTTCTCTGACCCTGACCCATTGCTTCCTGTAAGTCATGTTGGAGCAGAACACAGTCACCACCTTGGCAGCTCAGCCTGTGACCACCAGTAGAGGCCAGGTTCTGCCGACCATGGAACCTGGGTTCGACTCATAGCTTTGTTATTGCCTGCCTTGGCCTCTCCTGCTCAGTGCTCCTGTCTTCAGAATGGAGGGTCACTGTTTTCCAGCGGCTGCCCGCAGGGTGGAGGCAAGGGGGAGCCGGGTTCTCGCAGCGTCGGCAAAGGGGCGGGTGCTGCTTTTGCTCTCGGACTCCCTCAGGGCCCTGGTCCTTCTGTGCCAGGGGCAGCCAAGGGGGTGGGGGCCTGGGCAGCCAGAGACTGCGCCTTTGTTCCCTCTTGCTGCCCYCGCCCAGGGCCGGGGAAGCCCGCGGGTGCTGGGCTGGGGGCTGGGCCCTTGATAGGCYAAGTAAGTGCCAGGCAGTGCCAGCGTGCCCAAGCACAGGACAGAGGGTGAGAGCAGCAGTCGCCTTCGGAGCGGACTCCTCAAACTGAGGACTGGGGGCTTGGGAGTGCATGAAATAGGATGACCCCACGCACTTAACCCCATGCACTCTCAGGCCGGGTGGTCGCTCCGACCCTCAGCGTCTGATCTGTCGAAATCCTGACCTCAGCACTACCTGGCTAAGACTCCCTGCCAGGAGAGTCAGGTTCTAGCTGAGTGGCTAGGGCCCTGGATCCTTGCTCTGTGACCTGAGGCTAGTACTGTGGACCATTGTCCCCCACCTTGGGTCCCAAGATCCCACTCATGGAACCTCACTCTGAGCTCTTGTTATTCTTCCCCATCTCAGCCGTTCTGTCCCTCCATGGGCCCTACCTGCTCAAGACCATCCTTGACCGAGGCCCTTAATGCCAGAGTCCCCTGAACTTTGCATTTCTRGCTCTCTAGGGCTGCTTCTGCTTTGTCTCTCTTCTCCCAAATCCTGTCACTTTCCTCCTGTCCCTCTGTTAGCCCCCTGGGGGTCCCTGTTTCAGTCTCCATCTCAGCTCCAGCCTCAGGGACCCATCAACTTCTTAGTGCTTCTTAGCATTCTCGTGGGAGAAGGATTCAAGTCACTTACTCACTTACACATTCATCCAGCAGCCATTTCCGGTGCCGCTTGGGCAGTCCCAGGAGTGGGAACATGCCCGAGGGAAAGTTCAGTGATGTCAGGCTGGGTGGCAGGATAATAGGGCCCTCAACTTGTCTTCTGATAAATGAATCAGGTGCAACAGCAAGAGTGACTAAGGCTAGACRTCAGGAAGAACTTTGTAACATTGAGTAGCAGTCACCCTGAAGGGTGTTCTGACAAGGAAACCACAAAAGAGATGAGTATTTCCCTAAGGTTCTCTGCTATGAACCTGGAGAGGAGGAGGCAGCCCTTGGGAAAGGGGTCTGCCCCACTTGCTGCCTCCATGAGGTCCCTGCCCAGTGTACAAACAGAGTCATGCCTCATGAATGGGGCAGGGTAAGGGCAGGCAGTAAGCCCATGCTAGAACCTGCCCCTTCTCTGCCCCTGCCACTGCATGGCACACTGAGGCATTGGGCGGCCCCTCTGTGTCAGGATGGATACGTCTGGGACAAAAACATCCTTAACAGAAACCACARCCTGTGTCAGAGCACATTAGCATGTTAACCTCCAGACACCTGGGTCKGGGGACGACGTCCAGATTCTGATATTTGACGCTTTTCCCCTGACTGTTCTGGGCTCCACCAGGACACATCCCTTTCACCTCCTTGCAGAGGCCTCCTAGGATTGGTCCCCTATGACACACAGTTCTGAGAGTCCTGAGCTGGCCCTGTTCCCCCCACACACAGGAATGAGTCAGGGGAGACGCCAGACCTCCTCCGGCTGCTCTCTGAGTCTTTTCACCAGCCCTGCCTCCTCCATTAGGTTGGGCACCTTCCTTTGCTGGCCCTACTGGGACCAGATACGCACACACTCACATGTGCACACATGCAGCCTCCTCATTTCTGAGTGAGCAAGCCCAGGCTGGCCCTGTTGTGTTTGAGGAGCCGCCTGCCTCTGACTCCAGCCTCCCCTCCTCAGGGTGCGTCCTGGGTGAAGTCACCCCTCTCCAGGCATGGCCATTCAAGAACACCACTAGCAACTCTTGAAGGCCTCGGCCCCATTGTCTCTGACTGGGCTGGATGAGCCCCCGTAGGAGACACAAGACTCCAGTGCTGGAAGAACCCTGCTTTGCTCAAGCAGCAGGACCCTCCCCAGGGTTGCCCTACTACGCACCTCCAGGGGCATTGTCCACCCCACAGTGACCATGCATGTGTGGCGTCTCCGTATACCCGCTCCATGCCTATGCCTCCTCCTCTGGCCTCAGGGATACAGGTAAAAGAGAAGGTGCAGTACCATGCTGGGGGGTCATGGAGGAACCTCTCTAGGGGACAGGGGTCCCCTAAAGGGCTTCAAGCCAAAGACTGACAGTCTGATTGTCACTACCAGATGTCCCAATTGCTGAGTGGAGAATAGTCTGAAGGGCAAGCATGTGGGTCAGAGAATAAGTGAGGAGGCTGGGACAGTCATTCAAGGTGGGCCAGGAGGGCTGGACCAGGGTGGTCTGGGAAGAGATGGTGAGAGGACATATCTTCACGACCAGAAAGACTTGGGCCCCATGGGAGGTGGGCAGCAGAGTGCCAGCAAAGGTTCTCAGCTTGTCTGACTGTGCCCATGGCCTGGATGCCATGGACACGATTCTATGCAGGAGAATGGGTCCTAGCCAGGGGATGTGTGGGTCCCCAGGGAAACCCTGAGTCCCCATTCAGCTCCCTGGAAGGGAACCTGCCCCCACCCTCACTGTATATGCCATACCGAGAATCCAGAGAGATGCAGGGTACTATGGTTTCAATATGAGGTATTCCCCCAAAGCTCCTTTTAGTGCAGGGGGAGCCGTGACCTAATCAGTCCATTCTAGTTGAAATGGAATGACTGGTGGGAACTTTAGGCAGGTGGGGCATGGCAGGAGAAGGTGGGCCACTGGAGAGTGACCTGACAGAGTGCATCTTCCCTCTGGCCCCATTCCCCTCTTTCTGCTTCCTGACCCCACCATGAGCTGAGCAGTTTTTCTCTGCYGGGCTCTTCAGCCATGACGCGTTGCCACACCTTGAGCCCAGAGCAATGGAGTTGGCCATCTATGGACTGAGATCTCTGATCATATGTACCAAAATAAACTTTTCCTCCGCTAAGTTGTTCTTGTCAGGTATTTTGGTCACAGTGACGCAAAGCTAACTGAAACAYGGGATGACCAAGGTTCTCCTGCACACCGGTGTCTCTCCCAGGCACCTCTCAGAGTCTTGGGAATGTGAGCCATAAGGATGTTCATTGAGCCATGATCTTCCACCCTGGCTGAGGGGCACTATCTGGGACCAGTCATTGTTGATTTACTGTGTGATCTTGGGTGAGCCTCCTCCCCTATCCAGTCTTCACACAGGAAGAGATGAGAACAATTACCTTTAAACTCAGGGAGCATGGTCCAGACCTTCAGTTCTGTGCTGAGGGCTGGACAGCCTGGCCTCAGTATCCAAGAAACCTAGGAGCCAATATGCAGCCTAAGAGGAAAGGGCCATTGACTGGGGTGAAGCATTGGGATAGGGTGCTAGCTGGGGGCCAAGCTGCCTGGGCAGGACTGGGCCAAGCCAGTCCTTCTCTGCCCCATCCCCTTAAGCGCTCTCTCTCTCTCTCTCTCTCTCTCTCTCTCTCTCTCTCTCTCAGTACCAGGGAAAATCAGAGGGGCTTTACCACTGAGCCACATCTCCAGCCTTTTTATTTAATTTTTTTTATAGCTTTACTATTTATTTATTTATTTATTTTTATGTGGTGCTGAGGATCGAACCCAGGGCACATGCTAGGCGAATGCTCTACCGCTGAGCCACAACCCCAGCATCCCCCACCAATCCTTTAAAAAAAAATTGAGTCAGGGTCAAGCTAAATTGCTTAGAGCCTTGCTAAGTTGCTGAGGCTAGCTTTGAACTTGCAATTCTCCTGCCTCGGCCTCCAGAGTTGCTGGGATTACAGGCATGTGCCCCTGCATCCAACCCCTTAAGGACTCTTGCTCCTTCCTTTCTGCTTCTTCCCTGACAAGGGATCCCTCTTCCATTTCCCCATGGTCCTGAGGTGCAGAGCACTGCCAGGGTCAGGGCACCCAGGTAAGCCATGGTTCCTGGTCACAGCTTCACTGCCTGCCCCTCGGTGTTCTGGTCTGGGAGTAGTTTGAACCTGGATTCTAGCTGTCTACCTGGGCTGGCCCCCCACTCCGTTCTTCCCCTTAAGTCATGCGTCACCTACCACCCCTGCCAGCC